CTTTGCTTCCAGGCTCTGGAATCCAGGGGATGACAGCACGCCTCCAGCCCAGCAGAGCTGCTCTTGTGCTTTCCCTGTCCTTGCAGCTGGTCAGCAAGAGCTTAGCCAGCACTGCGGTGTGAGTGTGATCCAGCAAGGCCCCGACACCCAGCCCTTCCTCCAGGGTCCACCCGCCATTGCCCACTCTGCACTTTTTCAAGAACCTGAGGTAAAATTAGTTATGGAAGCTAGTGGAGAGAAAAGCTGGTGTGAACTAAGAAACTTTTTTTATTTTTATTTTTTACTTATTTTTATTTTTAGTTGTCAAATGATCCTTTATTGAAATATTTTCCTTTGTGCTTCTTAAGTAGTTGGGCATTCCACCACAGCACTATTGATGTCATCTGTGATGTCATGAGGGTGGCAGCCATCAGCTTGGCAGCCCACAGACTGGGAAGCCCCCAGAATCCCATTAATGGTTCCAGAGAGTTCTCTAGCTAAACATCAGTGCCACATCTGTCAAGCACTGTTGACTCATCCAAAGTGGTATTTCCAGCCAGGCACGGTGACTCACGCCTGTAATCCCAGCACTTTGGGAGACCATGGCGGGTGGATCACTTGAAGTGAAGAGTTTGAGATCAGCCTGGCCAACATGGTGAAACCTCATGTCTACTAAAAATACAAAAGTTAGCCTGGCATGATGGCACATGCCTGTAGTCCCAACTCCTTGGGAGACTGAGGCAGGAGAATCGCTTGAACCCAGGAGTTGGAGGTTGCAGTGAGCCAAGATCGAGCCATTGCACTCCAGCCTGGGCAACAGAGAGAGACTGTCTAAAAAAAAAAAAAAAAAAAAAAGTGGTATTTCCACTGTGTTTAACCTTTTCCTGTTTCTTTCTGTCTCACAATGGTTCCTTGAGAGCTTTGATGATAAGGGCAGAGGCAGAAGGTGCCACGTCGGTCTGGGCCTGTCTGTTCTGAATGATCAGTTTCACTGTAAGCCTTAGACCCTTCCAGTCACCAGTTGCTTTGGCAATGTCATCACCAACCTTTTTTGGGGACAGACCCAGGGGGCTGATCTTGGGGGCCAGCGCAGACATGACACTGACTTCACCCCTGGTATACCTCAGGTATACAATTTTGAACTCATTGAGGTCGAATTTCGGCAGCGTGGTAGAGGCAGCTGGTGTCAGATGAACCCAGAATCAGGACAACCAAAAAGGGTTGCACCTTAGCGGCCTCCAACCCAAAAGCCAAGAGCTTTTTTTAAAAAAAAAAAAAAAATGTATTTTTAGAGACAGGGTCTCACTGTGTTGTCCAGGCTTGTCACAAACTCCTGGGCTCAAGCATTCCTCCCACCCAGGCTTCCCAAAGTCTGGGATTGCAGGCATGAGCCACCACACCCAGTAGAACTAAGGAACTTTTTTTTTTTTTTTTTTTTTTTGAGACAGTGTCTTGCTCTATCACCCAGGCTCGGTTTAATGGCACAATCACAGCTTACTGCAACCTTCTGTCCTTACCCCAGGCTCAAGTAATCCTCCCATCTCAGCCTCCTGAGTAACTGGGACCACAGGTGCATATCACCACACCTGGCTAATTTTTTGCATTTTTGTTAGAGATGGGGTCTTGCCATGTTGCCCAGGCTGGCCTCAAACTCCTGAGCTCAAGTAATCTGCCTGCCTTGGCCTCCCAAAGTGCTAGGATTACAGACGTGAGCCACCATACCTGGCCTTGAACTAAGGAACTTTTAAAAAGGAAATATAATTGTATTATTTCAAAGTTTTGTTTATAGCATTTCACCTGTTTTGAACAAATAATGCCCCCAAAATAATAAAAGAAGCTTAGAATTCATTAAAATAATGAATTAAAAAAAATAATTGTCAGTGAGCACATCTATTGGCTGGTGACCTAAGGAAAGAAACTGAGGCAAAATTAATGTGGAGAATTTATTTGGGCCAAGGTTGAGGACTACAGCTTGAGACACACTTCCAAGTTGCCTTTGTTCAAGCAGGTTTTTGAGTTTTTCTTTTTTTTAACTTTTATTTTAGGTTTTGGGGTACATGTGAAAGTTTGTTACATAGGTAAACTCGTATCATGGAGGTTTGTTGCACACATTATTTCATCACCCAGGTATTAAGCCCAGTACCCAACAATTATCTTTTCTGGCCCTCTCCCTCCTACCCTCCACCTTCAGGTAGACCCCAGTGTCTGTTGTTCCCTTCTTTGTGGCCACATAGTATTCCATGATGTGTTACGTACCCCATTTCTATCCAATCTGTCGTCATTTAGATAGATGGGCATTTAGGTTGATTCGGCGTCTTTGCTGTTATGAATAGTGCTGCAATGAACATTCACATACATATGTCTTTATGGTAGAGATTTCTGTTCTGCTGGGTATATACCCAGTAATGGGGTTCCTGGGTTGAATGGCAGTTCTGCTTTTAGCTCTTTGAGGAATTGCCACACTGCTTTCCACAATGGTTGAACCAATTTATACTCCAACCAACAGTGTGTAAGTGCTCCCTTTTATCCGCATCCTCACCAGCATCTGTTGTTTTTTGACTTTTTAATAGTAGCCATTCTGACTGGTGTGAGATGGTATCTCATTGTGGTTTTGATTTGTCCTTTTCTGATGATCAGTGATATTGAGCTTTTTTTCATATGCTTGTTGGTCATGTATGTCTTCTTTTGAAAAGTATCTGTTCATGTCCTTTGCCCACTTTTTAACGGGATTGTTTATTTTTCTCATAAATTTGTTTAATTTCCTTATAGTTGCTAGATAATTATACCTTTGTCAGATGCATAGTTTGCAAATATTTCCTCCCACTTGTAGGTTGTCTGTTTACTCTGTTGATAAATTCTGTTGCTATGCAGAAGCTTCCTAGTTTAATTAGATCCCATTTGTCAATTTTTGCTTTTGTTGCGATTGCTTTTGGTGTCTTTGTCATGAAATCTTTGCCCTATGTCTAGGATGGTATTGCCTACATTGTCTTCCAGGGTTTTTGTAGTCTTGGGTTTTACATTTAGGTCTTTAATCTATTTTGGGTTGATTTTTGTATATGGTGTAAGGAAGGGGTCCAGCTTCAACCTTCTGCATGTGGCTAGCCATTTGTCCCCAGAACCATTTATTGAATAGGAAGTCTTTTCCCCATTTACAAGCAGGTTTTTAAAGGGAAAAGGAGTGGGCTGATACAAAGCTGTTTGACAGGAATTCTCATTGGTTTATAGAAATAACGTTGATTAGTGATTAGGGTGTATGTCATTTCATGGCTACCTGACATCAGTCTAGAGCTCACATAGCTAGTGGCTTCAAGAGGTAATTATTTGCTGGGCACAGTGGCTCATGCTTGTAATCTCCACTTTGGAAGGCCAAGGCAGGTGGATTGCTTGAATCAGGAGTTTGAGACTCACCTGGGCAATATGGTGAAACTCCATCTCTACCAAAAATACAAAATAATTAGTTGGGTGTGGTGGCACACACCTGTGGTCTTAGCTAGGAGGCTGAGGTGGAAGGATCGCCAGAACCTCAGAAGTTGCAGTGAGTCATGATCGCACCACTGCACTCTAGCCTGGGTGACAGAGGGAAGACCCTGCTAAAAAAAAAAAAAAAAAAAAAAAAAAAAGATAATTATTTATCTCAAAGGGGAGTGTAAGATATAACCGCTGTCACAGGCTACCACATTTCAGTGCCTCTCTAGGCCTAATAATTAAAGAGGCTCACATTCCTGAGATAAAAAGTTTTTTTTTTTTCTTTCTCATGGCAAATGAGTCTTTCTAGGGACACAATTGCTTTCAAGCCCCCAGTAGTCTTGGACACTTGTTTCACATTATTACTTTGTATCACCCTAAGGGGGAGCAGGCTTGTGCTTCCTATCAAGTAAGCTTGAAATAGTCTCAGCCCAAAAGTTATCCCAATAATGTTAGAAATATGCAAATTAATGAACTGTCTGGTCGACAGTTAAGCTCAAATGACTTTTTTTAATGTTTGTTTTTATTTTTGAGGCGGAGTTTCACTCTTGTTGCCCAGGCTGTAGTGCAGTGGTGCGATCTTGCCACAACCTTTTGTCTCCTGTGTTCAAGTGATTCTCCTGCCTCAGCCTCCTGAGTAGCTAGAGTTACAGGCATGTGCCACCATGCCTGGCTAATATTTGTATTTTTAGTAGAGATGGTTGGTCAGGCTGGTCTTGAACTCCCAACCTCAGGTGATTTGCCCCTCCTCGGCCTCCCGAAGTGCTGGGATTACAGGCGTGAGACACCGCGCCCGGCAATTTTTTTTTTTTTGAGACAGTTTCACTCTTGTTGCCCAGGCTAGAGTGCAATGGCACAATCTCAGCTCACTGCATCCTATGCTTCTTGGGCTCAAGCAGTTCTGCTGCCGCAGCCTCCCAAAGTGCTGGGATTATAGGCAGGAGCCACCACGCCTGGCCTCAAATGACTTTTCTGTTTCCTTTTTTTTTTTTTTTTTTTTTTTTTTGGCTCAATGGATGTCATCTTGGAGCTGGGCTTCCTGCTGTCCTTGACTTTGCTCTGAAATAGCCCTTTCTTCTGTCCTTTGTTCCTCCATGGTGGCAGTACCTGGCCCTCCCTGGTAGTACCTCATGGTGCTTCCAGAACTTCCACCCAGCCCTTGGTGGTTTGGTCTTTTGGAGAAATGAGTAGCGGCTGTTCTCCATATCTTAGCCCGCTTGGTCAAGTTTTTGAAACTACTTCATTTTTTTTCTCTCAGGAAACCAAATTCTAAGCCCCATTACCTCAGGAGAGCAGCCTCTTTCTCACCCACATTAGTTCCATCCCGTTTATATGTTAAGCAAGCTAAGAGGCTTTGGAGAATGACTCTATAGCCCTGTTTGGAATGACTGCCACCCCTGGGGTCCTGACCTTGCCTTCTAAGCCCCATGTGACACACACCCAGCAAAACCCTTGGCAGTGCCCAAGGAAGCTATTTCAGAGGAGTGGAGCAGGAGCCATGGGCTCTATATTACACCATGGGGACACCCTAAGGTCTGACCTGTGGGCTGTTTCAGTGTTTGTAAGCGGTGCATTCGGAAGATGGACCACCACTGTCCCTGGGTCAACAACTGTGTCGGCGAGAACAACCAGAAGTACTTCGTCCTGTTTACAGTAAGTCAGCTTCCAAATTCTGCCCTGCCCTCCATGAAGTAACGGAGCACTTTGTTCCTTTGAAAATTCTCAGCATTCACAATGTTCTTTGCTGCTGTTCAGAATACTGCCTGGCCCTGTCGATCTCCGCCTTCTTGCCAAAGATATATTTCAATAAGTGCCTGTTTCTAAGCCCTTCACTTGAGCGTTTAGAAAATGGATTCAAGTTGATTAGCTATGGGCTCCCATCCCAGGTGTTGGACCTAAGTAGCTCAAGAAGGCAGTTGGGATGATGACCTCAAATTCTGAGCTGCAGGTAGGTGGAGTCTACTTAGTGCAAGGACTAGAAGGGTCTGCAGCAATCAGCATTCTGACTTTTCAAGGGAGGAGGTACAGCAGGCTTGGACCCCCACTCCCAGGCAGACCAGACTGCCTGGAGCCCAGGTCATGCCTGGCAACGGACTTGTTTCTGTTTTGGTTCCACATACTCCCAGAGATGGCTGCTTACCTCAACCCAGGGCTGGGGGGCAGGAGAATCTGTAGGGAATCACTAGCTAGCCCTCAGGTCCCTCCTGGTCAGGCCTCGGCCTAGCTGAGTGTTCCTGAGTGGCAAGTTTTGAGAGCCCCTGTCCCGGGAACCTGTGAGGTCAGAGGATTCTCACAACAATGGTGTCTGCACTGGTTTCCTGTTTCAGATGTACATAGCTCTCATTTCCTTGCACGCCCTCATCATGGTGGGATTCCACTTCCTGCATTGCTTTGAAGAAGATTGGACAAGTGAGTATGTGCCAAGGCTTTCCTCCCTGCTCTAGGGTGGGCGTGTGACCTGAGTCGGGGCGGGAAGTTTCTTTGTTTCCTTCATGGTGCCAGGGGCCAACCTCATTTTATTAGATCTCCTGAAAGCCTATGGACTGAACAGGGAAGAAATGGCAGAGGCTGGAATCTCTCTTCATGAAAAAATGCAGCCCCTTAAAGTCAGTTCGACAGGTAAAGTCAGGAGTTGGACAGACAGACCCTCTGGACTGAGAGTGCCCAAGGAGAATGCAGGCCCCAAGCAAGCACAGAGGCTGGCTCCAACGCATGGGAGCCGCGCTGGGAGAGAAGTTTTGTTTTCTGTCTTTCCATGAGGCACTTAAATCAAAGGTCATTTTATTCCAGTCTTGCAGAGACTCAGTTTTTATTTTCTGGCTAGGACATGGAATTTCTTTATTAATTTGTCTGGTTTTTGTGTTGGCTGTTTTTTAACTGCTTATACTGAATCATGAATTTACATTAAGATTGTAGATAATTCCTCCTGCTTTAGAGGCATCCCACTGAAATGTGCAAATGCTGAGGAAGAAACTCCAGCCAGAAGATTGCACAGATCCTGAAGGAAAACAATAGATGCTGGAGGAAAAGAAATAAGAGACCACCTGCTGGGCTGTCTCTTTCGCACTCACAATCTATGAGACAGCCCAGCAGGGGCTGGGCTTTTTTATTTATTTATTTATTTTAGATTAAGTCTCACTCTGTTGCCAGGCTGGAGTGCAGTGGTGCAATCTCCACTCACTGTAATCTCTGCCTCCCATGTTCAAGCAATTCTCCTGCCTCAGCCTCCCGAGTAGCTGGGATTATAGGCGCGCACCACCATGCCCAGCTAATTTTTTGTATTTTTAGTAGAGACAAGGTTTCAACATATTGGCCAGGATGATCTCAATCTCTTGACCTCGTGATCCACCCGCCTCGGCCTCCCAGAGTCCTGGGGTTACAGGTGTGGGCCACTGCGCCTGGCCCAAGACAACCATCTTGAGCAAGGAACATTGTATTTTATCTGCTTTTCCCTCCACGGCCCCCTTTTATTATTTCACTGTCTTTAGAAGTTTTGCTATTCCTATACATGCCAACTTCAGCCTTTTCTTACCACAATTCTGGCATAAGTCAGGTGGCAGAGGTCAAGCTGGCAAACAATAGGGAGAGGAGAGAAAGGTAGGGGTGAGTGGGTATGTGCAGAACTTTCCATTCTGCATAGCTGGGTGAGTCGCCAGCAAGTTCCTCACCACTTGGTGAGCATTCTGAAGTGCATGCCTTCTGCTAGGCTTGGGGAACCCAGATCTACTCCAGATTTGGCCTTGGTGACTTGACAGGAGAGTCCAGTGGGATATTTTATCATCCCAAACACCTCCCGCATCTCATCAGGTTAACAGACTTGAGCAGTGATGGTAGCACAGACTATCAGTGAGGCAAAATGTCTCTGTCATTGGAATGGTGCTGGCAGGGACCATTTCATTAATGCCTACTGGGAGCCAGGAATGGCCCTAAGGGCTTTTTGAGCAGTGCATTGTTTCAACCTTATAATAAGCTGGCAAGATAGAAGAGATGCTTCCCACTTTGCAGATGACAAAAGCTGCAGCTCACAGAGGATGAACAAGTTCCCAAGATCACTCAGCTAAGAAGCCGGCCTCTAGTTCAAGCCTAGGTCTGGAGCAAGGTTTTTAGCCCTGTCCGGTTGACTCCAATGTCCAGGGTCCTCCCAGCCATGCTGTTGATTAACTGTGGTTAAGATTCCTGATGGAGTGGGCTTCAGGCACCCAGCTCCTATGGCAGCTAGGCTGGGAAGGCGCAGGTCAGTCCCCAAAGTTGAGGCCTGAGAGTTGACTGTATATGACCATTAGTTACTGCCCTCACTGCTCAGCCCTGGTGGAATTGTTGGGCCATCGGAGCTGGTGTGAGCAGGGGCAGAGGGTTGCCCCCAGGATTAGGGCACTTAGAGTTGATGTTTAAAGAAGGGTAGGGAGGTGGTTCCACACACTGATCTGGTTCCTGCCTCCGCAAACTCCATTGGTAATTCCTGGGGCCCAGCCCCAGAGTAAGGATGCTTGCCGCTTTGCAAGGAGGGAGAACAGGCCCTGGACTCTGCCACCAGCTCCAGGGCAGCCGTGGTAGGTAAGAAAGAGGTGCTTTATCCAACAGGAACCCTCATGTGCTCCTGCCAGGCCAAGGCCAAACTCTGCAGATGTTCTTTCATGAATTCTTAAGCACTCCCCTGTATAGAACGGAAAACAACATTTCAGAAAGCCCAAACCTCTTGCCCAGATCCTTTTGTTGTCAGGCACTGTCCCAAGGCTGGCTGTACAGCAGTGAGCAAGACCAAGTCTCTCTCCTCCTGGAGTCTGAAGTGTAGTGGGAGAGGCAGTTATCCAACAAGTACAGAAACAAACAGGTAATTCCACAATGCAGAGGACAGGAAATACATGGGCCAGAACAGGATATTAGCGGGGGCCTTGTAGTTAGAGTTCATGATCAGGAATTGGTGCCAGGATTTGTACCTCACTGTGCCTGCCAGATGTCAGAGCTCTTGTTCTTCCCAACACCCTGCCCAGCCCAAGGCCACCCATACTTGTAGCCACCCACGGCCAGCACATCAGGCTGGTGAGCCACCCCAACCAAGCCCTGCTCCACAAGGAGCCAAGAAGAGAAATCATTGTGAGGCATCAGTACATTCCCAGGGAAACCGGAGGAGATGTGCCCTGGAGATGAGGTGTTCCTTACCTATCACCCACATGGTGCTTGGTGTCTTTCCAAGCCCATTCCCACATTTGACCTCCCTTTCCTGTCCTGACGTTCCCCTGGGGGAGCCAGCAGGATGGCTTGAATGGGGTGCTTACCCCCGTAATTCCCAGAACCATTGAAGCCCAACTCTGCCTTCCAGGATCTGATCTTTCCAGCCAGGGAAGCAGGCACAAGTACGGGAGTAACAAGTAACAAACCACAGCCCAGGCTCAGCCAGCATTGGCAGCTGTTCTGAGGTGCAGAAGTCCTTCGGTGAAGAGTGCCAGCCGAGGGGCCTAGCCTGTCTGCCAGCGCCATCTGCTGGGCCAGGCATTTCCCAGGTCACATCGCTTCAGAGTTCTCCCCTCCCTGTTCACTCCCACCATCTTCACAGCACCTTCGTTTTTCTCCTCCATGCGCGGGGTTTCTGACTTAGACTTTGTTCAGACAAGACTCTGCTGCTTAAAAACAAGCCATACCTCTAGTCAAATCTCACTGCTTTACAGTGGAGGGGCTGGAGACGTGGAGACAACAGGACTGGCCTCAGGTCCCCAGGGCTAGAGGCCAGGACAGTGAAAGTGCCTACTCTGGGCCCATGCCTCTTTGGTTAACTCCCTGGCCTTTGGCACCGATGGCCTCGGTGGTGCAGATGTCCCTGGGAGTGGGGGCCATGCATTACTTCACACTGTGGTCAGGGCTGAGTCCTGGCAGTTCAACTGCTCCTGCCAAGCTTAAAATCCCAAAGCCACCCAGTGATCCTCCCCAGCTGCCTGTGAGCTGATGGGGGCACAGAGGGGCAGCACCTCATATAGGAATGCCCAGAAAACCTATGGTCATAGTAGGACTGGACAGTCCTCTCCACCTGTGGGTCTGCATTGTGCTCTCTGAGGAGAGGAGGATCCCCTGTGGTGTCATCAGGCCTTCACGCCTCCATTCAGAGGCCTTCCTGGGCCCTTCCATGTGTCGGGTGCTGTGCTTGGCACTGAGGGCAGTGAACAGGGAGTGATTTCTGTTACGGAATGGAAGCCCTGGCTGGGGCCCGGCCTATTGAGGAGACCTCCCTGAGGAAATGAGCGATAACCAGTGTGGGCCAGGATGATCCTTACCGTGACCCAGAGGCCAGAGACCTGTGGCACACAGGAGGAACGAAAGCCTGTAGGCAGCAGGCAGAGTGGGAGCCAAGTGGGGTGGTGAGCCTGGCCAGTGGGCAGTGGTTAGCAGCACTAAGCCCTGTGTGCTTCTTTTTCAGAGTGCAGCTCCTTCTCTCCACCCACCACGGTGATTCTCCTTATCCTGCTGTGCTTTGAGGGCCTGCTCTTCCTCATTTTCACATCAGTGATGTTTGGGACCCAGGTGCACTCCATCTGCACAGATGAGACGGTAAGAGGCAGCTCTGCCAACCATTTCCCCACCTGGGGATGGGGAGGACCCAGGATCAGTGTTGCTGGGAAAGCTGCTCACAGGTCAGACCGGAGCCCAGTGGGCAGGCCCCTGGTGTGCAGGGCATAATTCCTTTGTTTGCAGTTACACTTGGGTCATCTTCATGCACACACAAGTTCTCCAGCCTTGGGGCAGCCACAGCAGATCACACCAGGAGTGGGGCACAGCAGCCATGGCTGAAAGGCTGCCTTTACCACATTTCCTTCCATCCCCGTGCAGGTCTTCACACCGCACTCCGTTAGACACTCCACTAGGCACAGGGGGCGCCCTCCCCATCTGGGGCCACAGGCTTAAAGTAGAGTGGTTGACAGGGTACCCTAACCCAGCTAGGACAGGCTGGTCAGCTTGCTGGCCATGCCTGGGTCCTGAGGGCAGAGTCAGGAGGCAGGTCTGTCTTGAGCCCCCAAGGCAGCAGACTTTTACCTGGCCTCTGGTTCATCTCTGTCCAGCCCAGCCCTTGGCCTCGTCCACTGCCTTCTCAACCCCACTGCCACCTCCCATCTGCCCACAGCACCTTCGCTGGGAGCTTTGAGGCTGCTGAGTATTCCAGACTGTGGCCTATTCCCTTGGTGTCCCTGCTGCCATCTCCTGACCTTCCTAAGGTGTCTGGAAACCTCAAGGTGGTCAATCCCTGGTTGGGGTATAGGCATGTCTCTGGGGATTTACATAGGAAGAAGGGGCAGCACTTGGCTCTGGGTGCGGGGAGCAAGCAGAGCCATGAGGTCGAGAGCCATCCCTGTGTCACTCCTCGCGTCCTGCGGCCCCTCAGGGTCAGCTCTCACCAGTGTTCTAGGGCTCTGGGTAAAGGTTTGGGCCTGTGGGTGGTCAGCATTAGGAGCAGGCTCATAGGAAGACAACATCCTCCCGCGCTGCTGGCCACCTTCCCCTGTGGGCTTAGAGGAGTATGTGCAGGGAAAAGAAGGGACACTGCTGCCCACTGCCAGAGCAGCATTGTTTGGGTCTTTCGGCAACTTTTAGAAGGTTGTGCAGCTTTTGGCAACTTTTTTTCTAAGAAATGATGTCATTCCAAAAGTTTTCTGTGAAACTAGTAGCCAGTGGTGTAGATCCAGCCATGGATCCAGCCAGTAACTGTGACCAACCTCTCTGCTTAAGATCTGCAGGGAACCCAGATGGATTCTTTCAGGACCTGCCTGCCTGCCAGGCCACGGTCTCGGGGAGCCAGAAGGCAAGGCAAGCTTCCTTTTTTTTTTTTTTTTTGAGACAGAGTGTCACTCTTGCCCAGGCTGGAGTGTAGTTGTGTAGTCTCGGCTCACTGCAACCTCCACCTCCCGAGTTCAAGCAATTCTCCTGCCTCAGCCTCCCAAGTAGCTGGGATTATAGGCACGTGCCACCATGCCTGGCTAATTTGTTGTTGTTGTTGTATTTTTTTAGTAGAGATGGGGTTTTACCATGTTGGTCAGGCTGGTCTTAAACTCCTGACCTCAGATGATTCACCCACCTCAGCCTCCCAAAGCACTGGGATTGCAGGCGTGAGCCGCTGCGCCCGGCCACTCAGAAGGCAAGCTTTCACGGCCCCTGTCCTAGTTGTTCTTCCCTGTGCAGTCCATTCCTAAAGGGAATTGTGTTGGAAGGAAAGGAGAAAGCACCAAAGGGCCCTGCCCCTCCTAGGAAAGGGTGTCTTCCCTTTGCCTTATGTCCTTCCCAGGTCCCTAGGCTGTGAAGAAAGACTCAGACTCACCTGTCCCCCCAGCACCCCTTCACCGGAGACCACAGCAGACAGACCCCTGGCCAGGCTCCTGCCAGGCTGCTCCTCTCCTGTCCCTCCAGGCAGGGGCCCCATTCTCAAGCCCTGCCCTTTGACCAGCTCCATCTGAAGAAGGGAGCGGGGAGGAAGCAGCTCTTCCCGCAGCCCCGGTTTATTCCTGAGACTTAGCAGGGGAAGCGGTGGTAGCTCCGTGACACCTGCTGTGTAGGTCTCTACCATGTTTCTGCCCAAAAGACCCATTAGGAGGAGCTTTGCCATGCCAGGCTGACTGGCCTGGCCATGCCACCCTCTAACCTATACTAATCCCTCCTCCTTCCTTCTCTGTGGTGACTTCTTCCCTCATTCATGGTCTGTCACTCCTATTCAACCTTCTCAGTTTGCGTCTCACCAACCCCACTAAGCGGGGTGCTGCTTGATCTGATCCCCCCGGCTGGTGAGACACACAGTGCCAGAGCAGTCATTTGATTTGTTACTTTTGTTTTTTGTCTGCAAAGTGGCCGTGGTAGCTTCAAACTTCCTAGGAATCTCTCCCAAATTAACGGCCATCATTGGTTATGACAATTACGAGCTCCCCGACAATTACGAGCTCCCCAACAACACTGAGGCCTTTCATGCCAAAGCCTTCACAGCAGTCCATCCACAGCCCAGCACAGAGCTTTTGAAGAGCGCTTCTGCGGAGCTCAGCAAGGGGCCAGGGCTTAGCAACACTCCAGCCCGGCCAGCGCGTCTGCCCCACTGATAGTGCTCCTTTTTCCCTCTCTTCTTGGAGGGACTTGTGAATGAGTGCCCACCGGAAAAAGAGCATTTTTTTTAGTAACACTTTTTATGAGAAAGATTTATTATGTAGATAGCTTCATTGCTTTAAAAAGGAAGCATTTACTCCATTCACCTCACACTGTGGATATCCCTCCCCAAAAACCACAGCAATGCAGTGCTTGACTGAAAGTGTGATTGTTCTTGTTTTCAGGGAATAGAACAATTGAAAAAGGAAGAGAGAAGATGGGCTAAAAAAACAAAATGGATGAACATGAAAGCCGTTTTTGGCCACCCATTCTCTCTAGGCTGGGCCAGCCCCTTTGCCACGCCAGACCAAGGGAAGGCAGACCCGTACCAGTATGTGGTCTGAAGGACCCCGACCAGCATGGCCACTCAGACACAAGCCCACACCACAGCACTACCGTCCCATCCGTTCTCATGAATGTTTAAATCGAAAAAGCAAAACAACTAGTCTTTAAACATTTTTTATGTCTCAAGTAAAATGGCTGAGCATTTTAGAGAAAAAAAAGTCCCCATATTTTATTTTTTAAAAATCATCCTTTTGATTTTTTTTTTTTGGTGACTGAAGCTGCTGTCTTTTCCTTTTAAAATCACTTCTCTGGCCTCTGGTTTCTCTCTGCTGTCTGTCTGGCATGACTAATGTAGAGGGTGCTGTCTCCAGGCTGTGCCCACTTCTACTAACTGAGTGAGATGGGACGCTTCACGTGGATGGAATAGTCGGGACACCTGGTGGGGGATGCGTGGGAAAGCCAGGAGGGCCCTGACCTCCCACTGCCCAGGAGGCAGTGGCTGGCCCCCCCATGGGACTTAAAACCTCACCGAAGATGGATGCTTCCTCCTTGAGGCCTGAGAAGGGCAGGATCAAGGTTGGAGGCTTCAGAGGGACCTTGGCACAGCGACCTCATCCCCCAGGTGGACACGGTTAGCCTCCTAATTTGCAAAGCAGTTGCCTGCCTTGTACTTTATGGAGTTGGGGTGTGTAGAATGATCTTGCAGGGGAGTGGGGAGAGAGATGAAAGAGATCTTATTTGTATTCTGAATCAGCAATTATATCCCTGTGATTATTTGGAAGAGTGTGAAGGAAAGATGTTTTATCCAGTTCAAAATGCCTTATACAATCAAGAGGGAAAAAAATTACACGGTTTCAGGCAAGCTACGTTTTCCTTTGTTACATCTGCTTCCTTCTTACCACCCCAACCCCCTCTCTTCCCCAGCAAGATGTCAATTAAGCAGTGTTAATTCTGACTGCAGCAGGCACCGGTGCCCAACACATACAGCCCTGCCATCATCCCCTTCTTCTGGTTTTAATCGTCCTCACAGAGGATTCACTTTCTGATATTTAACCCCCATAAATGTGCACGTACCTGTATTTTCTCTGTATTTTAACCTGGGAGACTGCTGTCCTGGCATGGAGATGATCATGATGCTGGGAATTCACCTCACAGTCTCCACCCTATCAAAGTCAACATATGACCATCCCATTGGCTGGAGTCCACAGATACACCTAAGTCTGTGGCACTGGGACAGAATAGATTTTCCATTTGAGAGGCACTTACTGTGTGAGTCTTGTTTGAAGAAGGTGGTGATGGTGGGGAGAGGTGAGGGAGATAGGAAGTGCCCTCCAAGTACAAAAATAACAAATATGATTATTGACCATCTGGGAATTTGCACACATTGTTTTTTAAGCAATTGCCACAAACCGCCTTTTTTAGCTTTTGCTTGGGGTGGGGGTAGGAGATAAGGTTTATTCAGTCCTGTCCTGGGTAGGGTAAAAGTTAATCTAGCCATTTGATTTTTCAGAAAAGTAAGTGGAACATGCTGCCTCTTTTCAATTCTGTCAATGCTTCCACATGGAAACAAAATGCAATAAAATTTTTCCAAAACCTCTTCTGATTTAGCGCTCCTCTCTTGAGGCGTTACCCTCCCGGGAGGCTGACTATCCCCAGCATGTACTACCAGTCTAGAGTTTTCTCTGGTTGGGTTTTTGTTTCTTTGCTGCTTCTCTTGAATGAGGATTTTGTTTGTTCGTTTGTTTTAAGGGACCAAAAGGTCCGTCTCTTGAACCAACTTGCCCGACCAGGCCTGTCTCCTTTGCTTTCTGCAGCCTGAATTGATTCCTTTGTGTTTTGGGGCTCTCCTAAGAGCTTTTCTGGGTCAGTTAACTTTGACTCGCCTGTACGGTGCTATTCTTGCAATACAGGCAAAGCTGAGATGCTAAGATTTAAAAAAAAGAATGCTGTTTTAGATTGACTTGATAGCATTTGTTCTCCATATGCTTTTAATCACATTTTTCTTAATATACTATTCACTTAGGTGTATGAAAGAAGTGTGATTGTATTAAATGACTAGAGAGGGGCTGCAGCTCTGGCCCTCCCCTAGAGGAGAGAGATTGATCATATTCCATCTTCAAGGGCATTTTTTAAAGTGAGCCAGGTTAGTTCTTTTCCCCTGGCATTTCTAAAGGAATGCAGTAGATAGTGCTGAAGATGCAGTGAATTTTTTTGAGTCTTAAAAATAGAAACTCATCCTTTAAACTTGGTGCATACTATGTTTATCTTTCCCATAGAGTGGAGTTCCTTGGGCTTGTATAGCCCTTGGCTAGAAAAAGTCAATGTCCCTGAGCCCTCAAACCAGCTGCATTCAGAAGATAGGAGTACCCCCAAGATTCCTGGCATTTTTCCTCTTTCATTTTCCTGAGAGCACAATGACTGAGGAATGTGGCCATCATTGGCAGCATAATGATTGGTTCCCAGCCTGGCTTCCACACAGGAAGAAAAAGCATCCCTGAGCTCTCCTCAGTATTTTCAGATGTAATGAAAGAGGACATCTTTATACACAAAGTCGGCCCCAACTTTTGGCTTGGTCGCAGGAGTTCTGATAGTACTGTTGGGTGCACACATGGGAAAATGAACCAGTGGTAGTCACAGGCTTTCAGAACCTGGGTTCTGGGGAGTGGAAGTGAAAAATAAAGATGTGGCATGTTGGATTAGATGATCCCCAGCTTGCTTTCCTTCTGTCAACTTCAGGTTTGTGTTCACAGCAACCAGACTGAATATGCAAAAGGCTTAGATCCAAGCAAATCTATAATCTATGCATATTTGCATGGGCTTGGTAATATGTACACAAAATACATTTGGGTAGAAGTGCATGAGCTAAATATCCTTTTAGTCCTGCCATTTTGTCTTCTTCATACTGTACTTCCTCTTTTTTGTTTGAGACAGGGTCTTGCTCTGTCACCCAGGCTGGAGTGCAGAATTAGAACTCACTGCAGCCTTGAACTCCTGAATTCAAGTGATTATTGTGCCTTGGCCTCCTGAGTATCCATGGCTACAGGCATGTACTACCATGCCTGGCTAATTTTCTTGTCTTTTCATAGACTCGAGGTCTCACTGTGTTGCCCCAGCCAGTCTCAAATGCCTGGCCTCAAGCAATCATCTTGCCTTAGCCTCCCAAAGTCTTGGGATTACAGGCGTGAGCCACTGGGCCCAGCCCTGTACTTCCTTCTTGAGAGAGCCCAAAGTATTCGCTTTTGCTCATCTGGCTAGGCCACTTAAATAGTTAGAATCCACCATCCCCTAATGCAGAAACCTTTCAGGTGAGATAAATTAATAAACATTTTAAACACATATATGAGGTTGGCATTACACAGAAACTCCTCTCCGGGGATCTAGGCTGGGCATCCTCAGCCAGCCTAATGCATTTTAAATTTCTCTCTTTCAAGACTTGCAGTCCATCAGCTTAAAGGGTGAGCCAGCCAGTAGAGGGAAGGGGCCCCAGCTAGAAGGTACCCTTAAATGTCGAAGAAATGCAAAGAGAGAAAGATTTTGCTAGAACCCTCCTCAAGGGTGTTCTTGAGGTTACCAGACCAGTAACATCAGCATCCCCTGAGAACTTATTGGAAGTGCACATTCTCGGTCGCCACCCCAGGCTTCTGAGCAGAAACAGTGGGGCCCAGCAGTCCGTATTTTAACAGCCCTTCAGGTGATTCTGAGAAACTCTCAAGTTTGAGAATCCACTTGGGGCTTGCAGGGGGTCGCTCTTCAGGTCGTCCCTGATGCTTGCTGGTGATAAGGGTCCTGTGTGCTGCTAGGCGCAGCGTAATGCAGTCAAAGTGCTGATTGTGAAGACAGGCGTGTGTTCCCACTGCTGAGAAGCCACTGAGACCTCCCTTGAACCTGTGGCCTCCCCAGCAAACAACTGCCAAGATATCAAAGAAAGTCTGTATGAAGTGGATCCAAATTATTAGCCTGCCCACCACTCCTTCTACATCTCATCAGTTGAACCCATCTCTAGACCAAGGGCCCTTTGGGTGAAGAACCATTCCAGAAGGGAAAGAGAAAAGAACAGAACCCAGAGACCTCTAGATGGGAGCAGCAGCCGGTGAGTAGTCTAGAGCCAGGGGCATTGTAGCAGCCTGGATACATGACTGTCCATGTCCTGACTTTTGCTTTCCATGTGTGGGCTTCAACACCCATGTGGCTTTTTCTTACATTCTTTAAATACATATCTAACTTAGGATCACCTCACAGAAGAGAAAGAATTCACAGTGAAGCAGAAACAAGCCACTGACCAGCGTACTCTCAAACTGAAACCTTCCTTTTCCCACCCTCTCCCTCAAGAAAGCATCTGCTAACTTGAGCAGCGTGATTGCCATAGCAAAGCAGAGTGGCCCCCTGGGAACCCGCTCTGTTGTGGCACATGCGCACACAGGAACCGGTGAAGCTGATCCAAGAGTGATGACAAGCACTGCAGAGGGATGTTTGCCAGAAGCCTTCTGGGGGACACACATGCTCTAACACGGACATAGAATGCCCTGGATTTCTGCAGTTGAGGCTGTAGAGTCTGGTGACCAAGTATTTGAGTCCTGGCTTCAGTCTTTTGTTCAAATCTCTGCTTGGCTACGTACTACCATACCTTACTACCAAAATACGACCTTGAGCATTAACTTCTTTAAGACTCAGTTTTCTCATCTGTAAAACGGGAACGATAATCTAAATCACAAAGTTAATGGAAGAATTAAATGAGGGTGATGAATGGGAATGTATAGTGTCTGGCCCTGGTATGGCTGTATAAATGTTAGCTGTGTTAGAGCTGCGCTTTTCAAACCATTGGTCATAACCATTCATGGTTTGCAACCAGCATTTTTTTCAAGAAAAAATTTTAATGCATTACATATTGCAGGGTAAGTATTGTTTTATGAAGCTTAGGGGCTGTGTATATATGTGTTCTGGAATGCAACAGAAAAATATTTCCTCTTGTGGGTTACAATATAGAAGTATGAAATCTCTGATGAGGAGAGACAGCGTTATCTGGCCAGCTGTGAAGAGACGCATTTGCCTAGGCTGCTGCCTGGGGCTCTGGCTTTCTACATGACGGTGCAGGGAGCAGCCTGTTCTCCCTCTCTGGGGCTGAGCTGAGTCTGCACAGACTCTTCTTGCTCGGGAGCCTTCGTCCTAATACATTCATTTTGGGGAGTTGGTGAGTTTGTTCACAGATCACAGCTCATGTGTCACCCAGGCTGACTGGGCCAAAAGGCCTTGTCATATACTCTGCCAGAGCTGCTGGTGTCAACTACAACCCCCTGACCAGAAATCGACCATTTTTGTTTGTTCTCTTGAGCCTGAAGCTAGCGTTACTGCTCCTCTACAAACCTCAAGCTTAAGAACTTTGCCTGCAGGATCCCTTAAAACCATGCAAAACTCAAAATTGTGTCCTACCAGGAAAAAGCAGCCCTCAGGCCATTTATTACATCAGATTTGTTTGCAGTGTTTTCTTTCTGGACTCACAAGTAGTCAGTACTCCCTGAACATTTGTCCACTTGACTGCTGAAGACCTCTGGTAGACAGGCCAGGCTCTGCCTGGAATACTTTTATGAGCTTGGTGAGGAGGTTGAGTATAATCCAAGAGTGCCTTTTGGGAGCATGCCACATGAATGGCAAATAATCATCCTGTGGGCTCTTGGCTTCATTTCCCTTCTCTCTGACTGAGCTCAGCCTGGGCACAGTGGGGATTTGCACAGTGGGGAAACATGTTGGGCAGAAAAAAGACACTAGTTCTGCTCCCAGTTCTGCTGCATAACAAGCCAGAAGAGACTTGGCCATTCTCATGGCCTCTTGGAACTTATATTTCTTCCCTATCTGCCAAGCATCAATACTCAGACCCATCTCACAAGGAGGCTATAAAAACCTATGGTCATGGCTTTGAGTCCAAGTCAGTGAGGATGCAGCCAATCTGTCATTTCTGGGTGTCTCCTCTGTAGCCCAGTCTGCCATATGGTAATGTCCCAGCTCTTGTGCTATCAAGTTAAAGCACCTTTCTCGACAGACTGCAGATGATCACCCAGGAAGGGAATGCAGAATACCCAAAGCAAACCATCTCAGTGGTCACTGCTTCTGTGCCAAGAAGGGAGGCCTGGCGAGGGGCCAGTCAGGGAGCAGCATGGCATCCTGTCTCATGCCCCACATGAAGGTCCCTCTAGACTGTGTCAATAAGATCCATTTTCTGAAACAGCTATTTTTGTTCTGATTATAAAAGTAACATTGGCTCATTGGTGAAAACTTAGACTGTGTGAGAAGTCTACAGAAATAAATACAAATCATCTAGAATTCCATCACCAAAAGTAACCACACAGGCAAATGTTCCAATGTCATGTAAAATTGTATTAACACCGTCTTGTATAGCTGCATAGCATTCTGCTTTATAGAATCATCTGCTTAACCATCATTATTGGGCATTCCTCTTGTTTCCAACTTTGTATGATTATAATTCAGTGTTCAAGTTTATATTGCATAAATCTTTGCTCAGACTCTTATTTTCAAATTTTTTATTGTGAAATAACAAAAATTTGACAAAAACAGTACAAAAAGTTCCCATGTATCCTTCAATCAGTCTCACCAAAGGTAAACATTTTATACACCCATAATACAAATATAAAAACCTGGACGCTGGTGACACAATACCCTCAACTAAGGTATGGACCTTATTCACGTCTCTCCAGTTGTCCCATGAACATCCTCTTCTGTTCCAGGATCCCATGCTGCGTCAATTGCAGTGTCCCCTTAGTCTCCTCCAGCTTGTGACAGTTCCTCAGTCTTCCTTTGTCTTTTATGACCTTGACCCTTTTTAAAAATTGAGATGAAATTTCTGTAACGTAGAATTAACCATTTTAAAGTGTACATTTAATGCATTCACAGTGTTTTGTAACCACCAGGTCCATCTAATTCCAAAATATTTTCGTCAGTCTCTGACCCTTTTGAAGATTGTAGGGCAGGTGTTCTGTAGACTGTCCTTCCGATTGTGTGTTTGACGTTTTTCTCAGGATTAGATTGAGATCAGGCATTTGGGATGGGAGCACCACTGAAGCAATGTGTCCTCAATGCGTCGCATCAGGAGGCACATGGCTTCGTTACATTTCATTATTGTGATGTTAACTTTGATCATTGGTTGAAGGTACCACTTTTACCCAGTGTAGGAACTGTTTCTTCCTACTATTAAATAGGAATTGTTTCTTCCTACTATTAAGGTACTGTTTTTCCCTTTATAATTGATAAGTCTCTTATGAGGATATACTTTTGAGATCAGTTTTTTTTTAACTTAGAGTTTATTTAAAAGTCAAGAATCTTAAATCTCTGAGATGGTGTGGGAAGAAAAAGTGCTGGAGAAGAATTGGCCTAGGGCACCATCAGATCTCAGACCGTGTGTGCGCCTCGGTTTTTCTTTCTGCATAACAAAGGGTTGTACCAGTTATGTAACGATCTTGTGTGGAAGAGAAAACCTAGAACCAGATACACAGAGATCTTTCTTGAGTCATGTGAATGAGCAGTGCCCAAGCCTGGCAAACCCACAGCAAATTCCCTTGGCTTCCAAAGGAGATGGAGAACGCAGTGGCCCCACTGGAGGGTCCAAAGCCTCTGTGCAAGGTGTTGTGGGCGGAGAGCTGGCCTGGCCATGTCTTTACCTCCTTTGGCCATCTCCCCCACCCAACACCCTTTCTGTGGCCTGGCGGCTGAGTTGCAGCCAACACCCAGAGGCAGGTGAGTGGGCAGCTTGGGAGAGGCTGCAGGGTGGATCTGCTGCATGAGCAGGCCTGAGCCCGGCCTCACCTCCCCACGGCGGTCCTGTGTGCCCTCCGGCAGCCTACTGCATGTTGGCACTTGCTGTACAAGCACCCGCTTCACCTCGCATGCTGTTTGTGTCCTGCACGCTCTCCTTAACCCCAGCGTCCTGCTGTGTTTGCAGCCCACATCTACCCTGGTGGGAGTGGCCAAAAATATTTAGGGGGGGGCGGTTTAGTGGCTTCAGAGGATGCATGGTCCCCCTTATGCCTCAGCCTCTCAGCAGCCTGGCCCCTGCCCAGCATCTGTCATTGCACTTGAAGGAAAGGAGGGAGGGCTGGGTGGTGGCTGGGGAACAGGTCAGTCCCCGGGCGGGCCCTGCTTGCTGTGCTCCTCCACGCCGCTGTCCACCCACACCCCAGAAGTCCTGTGAGACACCTCTCTGGGCTGACCTGGGTCACAAGAGACCCCATCTTACCCACACCCTGGACCCTGCCACTGCTGAGCTGGGGGTGTGTGCATGAGTAGCACAGCCCAGCACCATGCTGACGTTGATGCTCTTCATCCCCTTCTCCCTCCAGGGCATCGAACGCCTCCAACGAAAGAACCAGCCCAGGGAGCACACAGGTAGCTGGCAGTCAGTAAAGGAGACCTTTGGTGGGGACTTCTCCCTGAACTGGTTCAACCCCTTCTCCACACCGTGTCAGCCAGAGATCCCCAGTGACAAGGACTTGGTGCGGCAGGTGACGTCACTGTCAGACACTGAAACAACGGAGGATCCATCAGAGGAGACAAAGGAGGAGGACTGTGTGGAGGTGATAGATGAATAGATGCTGCTGTGGGGACAGAACCAAACATTGGAAAGTGCTGCCAACCTTCATCCCAGAGTTTTGGCTAAAGGGGCTCATGGGCGTGGTGCACTCCCAGAACCTCCAACCCTTCCCTGGGCCACTCGCCTGGCCTTACCATTCCCTGTAACTCCCTCTTTCCTCTCTCCGTGTTGGGCCAGGTTTGGCAGACACACACACACACACTACCATGACATTCGCGC